GGGGAACATAATGGCGATATAAGGCAAGCATTGGCGAACTTAGGAAGTTTCCAAAACATTTAACATTGATTTTTCATAACTTGCTAAGCTTACTAATTTTGCCTCAAGAAACTACTACGAACACAAGTCCAAGAACTTAATCTCTTCAAACAGGACTATTACCTTAACTCATTTCCACCTAGATCTATCAAACTATGGAACTCGCTATCAATACACTGTAAAGTGAATGATGTAAGCCTTTCCAAATTTAAGGAACTCGTGACCACCCATTTTGCTTACAAAATGGAACATTGTATGGAGAGGGAATATCAATTGGGACGAAAGTTCTGTCTTCTTCGCCAGTCACAAAAATGTCTCAAGTTTTATAAAATGTATATGTTTATATTGTGACAAATAGACTAAACTAAACTAAGCTTAACAAGAAAGAGAATTTGACCAACGATTTTTCGTATGGCTCATCCGCACAATACTTGCTTTGAAAATAGATATGTGATTCGAAAATTTCAAGGCAACCCATTCAATGTCAATGTTTTTACAGCGCGATGTTTTACATACTTCAGATTTTTGATCTAATTATTCAAGCGGCGTCATAACTTTTTTTCTGCCCTAGAGTTTCTTTCCAAATTTATACACAGGCTGCATTAGTACTAGATGATAAGATTCTGAAAAATTCAGAAAAATCGTACCTGAGAATGAAGGAAAAAGGCCAAAGACTAAAAATAGCACTGCTTGATTTTCGGCCGTTATGGAATAAACTCTTAAAAAATCTTAAAATAAAATACGCTACTAGAATCCAGGATAATCCAAGCACTTTAAAAAAAATGCAGTTAATTGACGCATTTCGCCATCTGTTTTGCGAAGCGAGCGAGAATAAATTACCACCTTAAGGTGGCTTGAAATAGTTTTCCTTGAACTATAAACCACATTTTCAAAGTGTTTTTTAATGAGAAAAATTGTTTTTAGTTAATGGAGGTATTTGTTGTCCTGCAAAGTTCTTATTGTTTCAGCTCTGAGTTGGAGGTGAAAACAATGATAAGATATTTCACTTTATTTTAGCGGTTTTTGTGAGCAATTGTACCCGGAAATGCGTAAAYACCTAAAGCTCTATTGCATCTAAACCTTCCTTCGACAAGTCGCTCACTTTTATTTTATTTTCTATTGATGATAATTTTTTTAATTTTAAGCCTTTTTTTTAAGCTCTTAATATAAAGTACTCAATAAATATATTTTTATTCAATAGCACTTCTCCTTCGCTTATAGTAGAATAGCCATAATCAAAGATAAAAAAGCTCGTCCAAGGYGTCATTTTAAGGTTCAATCAATTGCCCCGAGAAAGACGTCCTCCTATTGCGGTTTTACATACTTATTTAAAGAGATAACAATATCTAAAAAGTTGACATTGTCCTGAGAATTAATTTTTAGGTTGTTTGACTTCAATTTGGCTTACTTCATTTACCTTTATTGGCTGTTATTTTTTTAACCTGAAAATGCAAATGTCGTTTTCTCATGGGACAATAAATATTATTTCCTTGGTGAATACGTAGTGCAAAAAGGTTAAAAAMAGGAAGGAAAACGCTCGATTGATAAGTGGATAAGATGGGATGGGATCAATTGATAAATCGGAGGAAGTGGAATAGGATGGGAGGATGAATGGATGGGAAGGGATTGCAGGTGAAAGGAAGGATGGCTTTCCTGATGCGGTCCTAGCATACGTACGCATAAAAAACCGTAATAGCTTGGGTTTTGAAAAGAGTTTTCTCGCGAATAGGAAAGAAAACCCGAAAGAAACCAGKAAAAAACGCTCGAATCAAGTGTTAAACCTAACACATTCTACTCACATGTGATGCTGAGTGCAAGAATAGAACACGAGACCCCAGAGGTGAGAGTCGAGTAGACTACTGCCAAGCCACCCTTGATTCACACTTGGTCTCCCCCATTAGCAAGGCACGTGTGCCAAGCTAGAAGCTTTGAGACTGTAATAAAGTTTATTATTTATTATTATTATTGATATTATTATTATCATTATCATCATCATCATTATCACTATCACTGTCACTGTCACTGTCACTGTCACTGTCACTGTCACTGTCACTGTCACTGTCACTGTCATTATCATGATCATGATCATCATTATCACTATCACTATTATCATCATCATTCGTCATCATCATCATCATCACCATTATTACTATTATATTATTATTATTATTATTATTATTATTATTATCAACAGGTTTAAAATAACATCATATTTATTTTTTGATATTGAAATATTAGTTTCAGCGTTCCCTGTCACAAAGCGGCGAGTGGTCCAAGTGATTGAGTTGTGTTTTTGAATCAAAGTAACGATTATGGCTTCAAACCAAACTAACCTTACAGGCTGTAGCGTTGAGGTTGGGATTTCTCTGCAGCGCACCGTCCATTCCTCTTATCCAGAAGCTGGGYAGGCCCTTGTCCAGTTTAGTCCACGTTTAGCAGCATTTCTACTGACGATCAATATTGTAATGACAATCTTCACAGTCCTCGGAAATCTTACWGTTATTTCGACAGTCATCTTTTACAGGCAGCTCCGAGTTCCTGCCAATCTACTGATCGCAAGTCTTGCCGTCGCAGACCTATTGGTAGGACTTGTCTTACAACCAACTTATGTTAGTTCGATGCGCTTAACAACAACCCTAGCTCTTGCAATTTGGGTTACGCTATAGTAGTTGAGGTAACTGGGTTCGTTACACTAACCGCAAGCCTCACAAACCTTTCCCTGATCACATTGGATAAATACATCGCGATAACGCGACCGCTTAGATACGTCACGATTGTCACAGAGTTGCGAGTCAAATCAGCAATTTTCTWAGGCTGGTCGTGTAGTTTATTCTTTGGCATCGGAATGTCTTTGTCATCTCTCGTGTTGGGAGAAATGACTCGCGTACTGTGGTACGCGTAGCGCTCTTAACATGCATGTTTATGATCTCTCTCTATATAAAACTGTACGGCATTTCAAAAAGCCATGTTTCAAAAATACGAGCAGAGGCAAGGTCTCTTAACGCTAAAATGGAAACAAGAACTGAAAGACAGGGAATGAAGACTGTTGCCATGGTGACAATAACCTTAATTTTTTGCTTCGTTCCTCACATAATTATTAAGATAATAATGCGCATGCGTGGTGTTTCTAGCTTGGATCGAAACGAGATTCTAATTGTTATCGCAAGTCTTTTTTCCTTTACTTTCATTCTTTTAAATTCGTCCGCCAACCCTTTCATTTATTTTTTCCGCAGCCAAAAATTAAGGTTTTATTGTTGGAAGATGGTGAAAACCCTGTATAATAGGTCAGTGCGCAGTTCCTGAAAATAGCTTCAAAATAGACTCAAACAAACTGCTTTCTTTCCTGATATTCAGAGGAGATTTACTGGTTACGAACAAACATTTTAAATATCGCTCTTTTTTTAGTTTTGGGAATTTTTTTTAAATAGAAGTACGTGTTTTAATGTAAGGCCGAATTTATCAAGAAAAAAGTTGAATATTTTTCGGCCGAGCATTGTTCAAAACAGATGTATGGCTGTTACAAGTTTCAACCCCCTAATGACTTTCTGGTTTAAACATGTCGAATGTTATACGAACCGATTTTATTATTTTCCTAAAAGTTACAACAATAACCTTATTAAACAAAGATCTACTGCCAATCGGCGTTTGATGTGTGATTATCATTATTCTATCATATAAATTTATTTATAGTTCTTCCATCTTATACATATATTATATATAAAGTTTTTCTTTCCGTTTCATTTAGGATGCACGAGCTTGTTTAATCTTTAAAGTTTTTCCCTTGCATCCTTTACAAAATATCTATACAATTGATTATTTATTCATATCCTTTGTAAATTTAAGAGTGGATTCGAAATAAAACAAACTGTTGAACTGTTTTTTCTTGGTCACTGATCAGAGTACATTTGAATATATTTTTAAACTCAAAGCAGCAATACCTTGTTATAAAATCCTTAGATAATATCAACACTAAAGTTCCAGAACTATAGACCAAATTCAAAACTCGCACCGATGTGAGGCTTAAGTT